GGGGGGGGGGGTAGTTTTGTTTTGCTTTCCCCGCCGGCTCTTCTTCCCTCTGTGATTTTTCTTTTTACCCGAAAAAATGGGGGCCCCGGATGCCCTGGGCCCCTCCCCTAGATATCTGCCACTGTTCACCACCTTTAAGTCAGCTAAAGTACATGTGTACACATGTATGTAATACTGCATTATGTTGTACACGTACATGATGAGCTCAAAGTCACTGAGGAATTAACAAAGACAAAGAAGAACTTGCTTACATCAAAACTCATTTAGCAACCCTCAAACACGTAGGTCGTCACAATTAATTTCTGAGTGTAACAACGCTTGTTACTTTCAGATACATGTAGCAGCCTTTCTTGCTATCATTGCTATTGGTTCAGCTTGTTGTATCTGTTCATTTCATTGTCTCTCATAGCACTAAATACATGTATTTTCTGCTCAGGGCGCAAAATAATTTCCGGAGAGTCTTCGGGCACAATGACTGGCCAAATTCATTTTAGCTTGATCACGTATCGGTTCTGGCTGGTCAAATTTATAAGATAAATAACTCTTAAAACGGGACCATGAACCAAAACAGCATTATATATTTCCAAAAAAGTTGTTGCTTAGAGCTTATAGCACTTTAAAGCACTCACTGTCAACAATAAAAATAAATTACGCTGGCAAAATGAAAACAAGCTTATGATGTGTATTAATAGGTGCACTCTCTGTGAGATTAACCTGTAACACGTTAAATATCATTATCGTACACATTAAATTTGTCTGGCGTCTCCAAATATAATGATTTCTGGTGTACGTGTGAGAACTTGATCGAAAAAGTTGTATTCATCAAGAAAAGCTTAGTAGCCAGGCATTTTATTTGGGTGTGCGCAAACTCCATTGTCTGCCTTCAACGAGTGAATTGTAACCAACGGTTCTAGTTGCATTGCACCCAGGATTTCAGATCAAAGTTCCGCAGTACACAGCGACTCGCTACATACTGATGACAACTGAAATAACTGAACAGCAGGGAACCTTTAATTTATTTCATTTTGATTACGACTGAATGTGACCAGTAAACATGACTGGCAAGACGAAAGATTGACCAGTCAAATCCCCAATCAGTCTGGACAGACATTGTTTGTTGACGGGCCGTTATTTTGAGCCCTGCTGCTTTATTAAAATTTAAAATTTTATAATACAGATGATTTCTGTTGTCTCGGCTGTTTGTTTGTTTGTTTGTTTGGTTTGAGGGTGTTTCGGGCTTGCATTTGTTTGCATTCATTTCTCTACTGTTCATTCAGTTTGGTTGTTTGGGCAGGGTGGCGTCTATTAATAATAATTATTGCATGCAGGCGTCTGTCTGTGCTTCTAACGATCTGTTTGTTTGGTTGGGTTGTGTTCGGGTGTTTGTTTGCTTTGCACTTTTGACTGTTCAGAGGCAGTCTCTGCAAAAGCGGTCCAGTCAATCTGGCTTGAAAAAAAGATTTCGCTCATTTCTTGTTCAAGGATTTCTTGTTTCACTAAAACCTAGGAGTATCAGTAGTTCATATAGTGTGATCCTCCACGTGAGGGTTACATGTATGTTCATCTTTCCAATCTAAATATTGCATGAACTGATTGAAGTTTCAATTTTTTAAAAATTCTATCTGCATTCCAGATGCTTATAAAAGAACAGTTGCTCAGAAGAGCAATTGTGATATTAATATCTGTTACTTCTGTTAAGAAGTCACTCAATTTAGACCAGTCGTGAAATTTGACCCTACCCCTTTAATACGGTCAACCCATTAATATGGCCAAATTTTCATGGCCTGTTGGTGACCATATTAACAGGGTTCCACTGTAGGTTGCTGGTATCCATTTATAATCCTTGGTAAAGTAAGTTACTGTTTGAGTAAAGTACTGTGTTCAAGATCATAACTCAAGGACTTTGGGAAGGCTTCTTAATCTGGGGACCATTTCTAATCACTTATTATTATTTTTTTAACATAACATATTTCGTGCACAACAAATTACAACACACTACTTAAACTATGCTACTTATACTATACTACTTATAAAGTTATGTTAATACTTATACTATTAACAATACAGTACTAAAACGACTTAAAGAAATATGAAACTACTTACATGTACAATATGATAACTTATTACTAACAAAACGATACTTATGCTACTACATGCATGAATACAATGCAGTTAAAAGTTGTTAACAGTGCTAGAATTAACAGTAGGTCATTGGACCTTGTGCAACTAAATTTTGAAAGTTTTCTGAGTATTATGTTACATTATGATCGGACATGATTCTACAGCTCCAAAATGAGTTGGCTTTTATTTAGGAAGATTTTGTTTGCAGACCATGTTTGCTTTAAAACATGTTTTGCTTTCAATAATAGCTTCTCCAGACTGTAGAAATAGCCCCATAATGCATTGCAAAGCACACTTGTTATCTCATGTATGAGCTCTACAGATTGAGTCATTGTGTATACATATTATATAATAATTGCTTTGACCAAATTGTTATGTAGTAAAAATTGATTCCAGCACTGTGCTAAGGTTTACAAAAAGAGCCATTCACAATCAGTTGTGAAAGAGAAAGCCAAGTAATTAACCATGTAGTCTCCTCCGCAGCCGTTTTTTGGGATGTCACGCAACGCAATGCGTGACATCCCAAAAAACGGCTGCGGAGGAGACTATTAACCATGTAGATGTTTTTTGTTTTTGTTTTTTTTGTCAGTTTTGCATGACTTTTCCTAAAATGATTGTGAGAATTCTTTAACTTATTGGCAGTTATTAAGTTTTTAACAATCCTGTGCATGTACTTGTTTGAAAGGTACAGTGTAACCTTGATTCAATGAAAGGCCAAGGGACTGGCAAAAAATGTGTGCTAAAACAAGGTTTTGTTATTTTCCATATATTGTACTATTACTGGGGCCAGGAAAATCGCTTGTGATACGAAGGACTTTGTTATATAGATGTTTGGTAAATTTCCACTGGGGAAAAAAGAGTTAAAGAAAATTAAAAGCAGCATGTCTCATTCTTGCCATCATTAAACTCAAGAATCTGTGTACAAAGAGGAGAAACAGTTGGCAAAACAGAATTTGTACAAATGTACACATCCCAACGATGCCTGCATGCAAATTTTTCAATAAGATTGTTTTCTTTTTGTTAGAATGTAGGAGAACCAAGAATCCATGCTAAGTCACTGTTAGATATACATATATATAATTATGGCTTGTACAGCAAAATTGTGTAATTGTGTACTCCTCCCCTCTTTATGTTGAAGAAGACTATGGCTGTCTGTGTGTTTTTTGTTTTTTTGTTGTAAGTTGCAAGATACAGCTGTATCAAAATGACAAACTTTAGCAGTGCAAGAATGGTTTAGTTGGACTAATGGAATTTGCATGCTCCCTTTAGCCCATTGACTCTCGTGCCACCTATAACGGGCTGTGACGAGTGTCAGCCTTTGTTCCACTTCTGACATCATCACCTTTGACCCCATTTGGCATCATCTATACTCAAGTTCTGCAGGCCAGGAGGAAAAGATCTTTCCGCTGATACCCAGATCAGAGTGATCGGCTCAATGGAGCCTGAAATATGCACGAAAATGCTCAGAAATTTGAGTGAGAAACTTGCGGCACAATTTCCTGCGACTACATTTAGCTACTCCAAAATCTAGCGACTTAGCTACTCCAAAATTTCTCAGAAATTTTTGAACTGGAAGCAAGCCCAGTAGATGGTCAATCACTGCAGCAAAGAGATAAGAAAAGGAGAAAAAGGAAAGGTGACAAAAAAAAAATTAAAAAAGCGTAAAGACATAGGTCACTTTCTCGTCCCAAAACTATCTCGAAATTCTGATTTCTGTACATACCTGAGCAAAAGTGTTGTAAAAACGCGATGCCAGTGGAAAGAACGGCATGCTGTCATTTTGCAAATGCTTTTTTGAGTAGAATGGAGCTAATGTGGCCCATATCCAGGCTGAAAACTTCCAGAATGTCCAAAACATGCATTTTTGGCAAAAAGCTCTGGGAGTCAATGGGTTAAATTTATTGACATCAGTGTGAACCCTATTCGATGTCATTTAGTTCAGAAAACATTGAGGAGACATTGCCTTAATCTATAAATTCTCTATGCTAT